ATAGCGAAACGATGCGAGAAAATTAAATGCAAAAAATAAACAAGGGAGTTGTTGGTACACGATACAAGCAGGATAGCAAACATGAAAAGAATAGTGGAAGCAAAACGAGCGAGTTGGGGCGAGAAAAGAGGAGAAATAGAAGGTGGAAACAAAAATCAAAAAGTTGTGGGTGTGGGAGGCCAAGAAGCAGAGGAAAGTCTGTTAGGAGTTGAGAGTATCATGAACGAGTAATTGGGTTAATTAATTAATTAATACTGTTAATTAATTAAACAGTGTAGTAGTTAAGGATGTGAATTGTACAAAGAATAATAGATTTGAGGGATAGATTTAAGAAATAAGGAAAATGAGAGTGAATGTGAATTGAAAACCGCCATGAGCCGAAAGACAAAGATTATGAATAATAATAATATTAACAATAATAAAAATATATTCTTATTTTTATTATACTTGTATTAGTTATTATTAAATATTAACTGTCATTTTTATACAGTATTATCCGTTTTAAATGTCTATACATGATTTATTCCTGTAAATATCAGAAGTGCGAGAAAATGTTTGAGATGAAAGTCGTTTGACTTCACGGGGGAAACTTAATAAGCTATTTCGATTCTTTTCATATTTTCATTTAGAGAGATTTCAGTGCCAATGTGACTGAGTAATGTAATGTAATTTTAAATGAAACTATGTGTGTTTCTATACACCATTCGATGCATTTCTTAATTCCCTATAAGAAAGTATTAAGTACTTGTGTCTGAAAATGTCAAGTTCAAAAGATATTTCAATGATAATTTCGTTGAATTGAGTCTACGAAGGTCAAGGAAAACGAACATAGAAGCACATTGCGTTATATTTCCTTTCCCAGTCTTTGGTACGATAAGTTTTATAAAATTGAAGTCGAAATATATTTCAAACTAATTATTTTTCGACCCAAGCACCTCGATGCTTCTTTGTAGAGAATCAAAAAATATATTGAATGGTGTATAGAACTGAGGTGGATTATTATACGTGTTGGTTTATTAAAGAGACCAGTGATAAAATTGTAATAGTCAGTGTATATTAAAATTACTTTAAATACAAGTACAGAAACAGTGTATGTCGGTCGTAATCGTCGCTCTCTCAATGCTACTGTTCAACCCTACGCTCGCTATTCGACTGTATGACTCGCTATAATCATTGTCCTAGAGAGCATGTTTGTTTATTTGTATCGACCGATGATATTATAAAAAGCTCAAATGTAACTCCGGTTCGCGATTATAAATAACGGCGATAATGTTTTGTCCGGAGTTTGTTTACCTTTGAACCTACCAAACCAAAACAACGTTGGCACTCCAAAGCACAACAATATGAGTCTCTCGCGATTCGACTCTTCCGCTGACTCGTGTGTTGCTACAGAACAATGTGTAATTCCATTTAAAAAAATAGAGAAATAATAGAAAAAATAGACATTTTTTATATGCCTTCACATTCAGAGAAAACACATGTAACACACGATGCAACACAGGAAACCATAACAATTAATTTTTCCTAATGAAATTTTGTCTACCTTCTACCGACTACCTTCCACCCACTATGGCTTGTTCCAGTTACTGGGGAGCACCCTGTATACGGTTTATATGCATTAGGACGTTCAAATAACAGAACGTTCACATAACGGAGGTTCTATTGTTCTTATTTCGATATTACAATGATTCGATAGTCTTACAAATGCTAAAACAAGTCACAAGAGTCAGAAAAGCATTTAATTACGAATGAAAATTACTATGGATTTCACCGATAACCAAGAGAAATGATTTTAAGGAAGTGTTCGGTCAACGTTTGATTCTATTTGGGAAAAATTTGTTCGCTCCTCGAACTGCTCATAGTTCGTTCGAATGTGTCGCGTTTAAGTTTCCCTATTTCTCCTATTTCTTCTCCTCCGATATCCGTAGACACGCTTGAGTTTGTAAAATTCTTGGAAAGCAAATGCACTTTCATCTTCCCACACGCTGTATGATGTAAAAACATCTTTGAGAAATATCAACCCAGAACTGTGAAAGTCCAAGTTTCATGCTCTGACCTCCACCCCCGTGTCAATTTCACACACTTTTCCACTGAAAGATTACGTTACTTCACCATTCATGCAGCAATTTTTTCGCAACTTTTTGACTTTCACGTGCGAATGAAACGCGATACCTTTTTAGGCGATTTGCTGCGAATACTTGTGACGCAGAGCGAAATTATTTATTTGTCTTTCCATTTTATTGATCCTCCATCATCGTGTCAATCTCGTACACGAGTGACGCATCGAATTACGAAAATGAAGGATGGCTGAGGGTAAAAAAGGATCGTTGTACGACATTTCTACGCCAAGTTACGACAGTTCGAACATCGGCAATTTTTCGCCGGATATTTAGCGATTTAATTTTGTACGCCAGCGTACTTACAGAAGCTTCTTATTGGCAATTTAAGGTCATCACTGAAAACAGGAGATCCTCTATCTCCCTTCCTCGTCACCTCGCAAATCTCCGGAGAATCGGATACGATTGCTCGAAGGAAGGAAATGCATGGACGAGTAGGTGAAGTCAACCCTTTTCAGTTCTCGCTCTTCGTCTTTCCTCGGTCGCTTCGCAAGGTTATCGTTGCATCCAATTAAAGAGAATCGTATGCATCGATTTTGGCTCGTGCTAACTTTACTTGATCCCATGAGTACGCTTTGCGATAGCAATTAATTGCGATATCGCAATGAAACGCATCGATGGATTCCGGTTGGCTTGTAAACGCTGCGTTTTCCGCGTTTCATTTTCATTAAGCGAATCGAGTAACCATTTAATTTTGCCGATAAGGATAAAGCTGAAATCCATTAGCAAAAACGAAATTCTGACATGCGAACGTTAGGTAGATTCTCCTTGCAGCGAAATATTAACCCTTTGCACTTGGAATTTTATTTCAATTTCGATATCAGCAGCTGCCAACGCTTTTAAGTGTTTTATTTGAAATTTACCTTAACTAAAAAATAAGACAATTTAAAGAAATAAAGGAAGAAACAAATTCACTTAAACGCCAGTTTTATTCACACTGTCGTTGTATTTTGTAATTTTTAAGTGTATGATATATCTTGAAACAATTTCCAGGATGCAATCCTGGCTTTCTTTCGCACGTTTCACAAAAAAAGGAGCTCCTGAGATAAAAAACTGATGTAGAGTCACGCTCGACATAGGAGTACAAAGGGTTAATTTATTCTCCTCTCTCTTTTTATCTTTCTTATAATCATTTGGGAAAAGGACAATTTCGAGAAGCGAATTTTAATTTCTAAAAATACGTAACTTACTTGATTCAAGTATATTGCGTTAATCTAAGTAAACGTCGGAATACGGCAATATACAGGGTGGTTGGTAGCTGATGATACAAGCGTAAAGGGGGTGATTCTACGCGAAAAAAGAAGTCGAAAATATAGAATAACAATTTTTCGTTTGAGGCTTTGTTTTCGAGAAAATCGACTTTGAATTTTCGCTCGGTACGCGTGCACTAAAAAAAAAATTTTATTCCATATTTTCGACTTCTTTTTTCGCGTAGAATCACCCCTTTTCCGCTTGTACCATCAGCTACCAACCACCCTGTATAAGTAATGATGTCGTAATGAGTTCCGATATTCCAACTAACTGCCTAATAATGAAGCATTCGGTTTAGAAGATTGCAAGTTCACTTTTTAATTCGCGTATTGGTTGTTAAATGGAGCAGGACGATAAATGAGAAACGGGAGTCACAAAATTTTTGCAACGTTTAAAATTTAAATATAGAATACGTGGTGTAATATTGATTTATTTATGACGTTGAAACAAAGAATACGATGCAGAGCAAATTTTTGGCAAAGTAATTTAATTCAGTAGTTTAATTTAATAAATTAGACCTTTGATAAATCAAATAATTCTCGTTTTCGTCGTCAAACTTTACTTGCAGAAAATAACAGACCCGGTTTTTGGTTTCCTTTAATTATCTAAATACAAAATCACCTCTCTTTTATTGTGTAACCCCTTATCCCTTCGAGACGTGCTTAATTAGATGCTTAATTAAATGCAATCAAGACGTAAGTAGCTGATATTTCGAAAAATTCATTTTCACCGAAATTCTAGCTGTTGCAAATTTACTCTGATTATCTACCATGCAATAATATCTTAATTCCTCCTTTAAGAACATAGATAAGCAGATCGACAATTAGTTAGGAAGGGAGAGATTTAAGAATATAGATATGCAAAAATGTTCGCCAACAAATTAGTCTTCTAAAATATCCGCATTTTCTCGTTAATTACGATACAGCACGAAAGCTATTTTGTTAACAGAAACGAGTACACGAGTATACAACTAATAAAATTAATTTTTCATTTCAACGATACAACATTTAAATCCGAAAGAACGTTCAATGACTGATGCGTTTGTGCTCGGTAAACTTCTCCATCGTAACCTGTTGAACTTTCACGCAACGTCGTTATTCATCAATTAAATTTGACTAAGGATAAGGAAGGAGCGTGACTAAGGATTCGATGAAGCCTCGATAACGAAAGCCAGGATATGTACTGACTTAGAATCGTATCTCTTACGTGTGACGAGTCAGGCCAGATATTTCTTGCCTGGATCATCCTTGACCTTGTCTGCTGATATCATTTGATAACCTTGAGGTAACAAACATTTCGTTCGCAGCCCTGAACCAGCGTTGTTGTATTTAGAGCGAGCTTTATTCACAGAGGCAACGACTAAGGGTTATACACGTATAAACACATGCTACAGCCACCTCTTTCAAAGGCTTAAAACGTGCAATTCTCCCTACGTGGGAGTAATTTTAAAAGTTAAGGTCAAGGCCTGGACCCTGCAGATTGAACGCGGCCGTAAGAGGACAATTTACTGAAAAAAGATCGGATGCGAGCCAAAGATCGCTTTGACAAGCTTTAGAAACCAGTTCCTATCGGGAACATATGCTGAATATATTTGTTTGGTTGTGAAAGAGAAAACCGGGCTAGTAGTTCTTGGCCAAACTTTTTCTCCTGTTAATAGGCATTTAGGAATATTTAGCAACCGTACTGTTTTAGTATAGTTGCTGGCAATTTTTCATGCTATAGTCGATTAAACTTTGGCAAAAATTGCGCGCCAGAGGCATAGATTCGATTAAATAATAATACTTTTGTTTAATTATTTCTAAATCGTGTGTAACAGAGTTATAGCTCAATTAAGATCAGCCCGCAAGGCACGAGACGTGGGTCGATGTGATGGTGCAAATACACTGAAATTAAATGACTGAGTTTCGTCGACTGTGTAATACGCAAAGAAATAGAGAACTTTAAACTTTTAAGTGATTGCCCACGACCGAACCGTGTAGAGCGAGAGAAGAAGAATGGAATTCCTCAGAAATGGTGATCGCAGGGGACATTTAAGAAGGAAAATAGTTGGTGTACTTTATCCAGGCAGAAATGAAGGTGACAGAGTTGACATTGGAGCATTAATCGCGTAACTAATGTCCTGCTGGTTTGAATGAGATCAAGAATTGATGTTATACTGATGTATATCTAAAGAAATTTGTTAATATAATGTGGTTTAGGCCTAGGGCATCAGTAGAAATAAGGGAAAGATACCAGGTTTTAGGTAAATAGCCATTGACATAAGTCTATAGTTTTAAAACGTGATAACATTGTTGTATAATATTTTATATAATCGTCATTTAACGGTAATTGCAAAATTAAATAGAGAAATAATTAAAAAATAATTGTATTCAATATTATATACAATATAAAATATTATATAATATCTTCTGTTGTACTTATTTCATATTTTATATAATTATTATATAATATTGAATATAATTATCAGTTAACTATTTCTGTTTAATTTTGCAATCAGTGTTGACTGACGACAAGGAAAAATATTCTCAGCATTGCTGATAGTCACCTTTCATGTATGGAAATAATACATAAAAATAGCGCAAATTCAATATTATTGGAAAATATAAATAAGATAAATTACGCACTGTTTTCTCAGAGTCTGCTCAAACATACAAATCACAGACACTAAAAAGATTTCTATTTTTAAAAAAATGACGCTCTTTACGATTAAACATCTGTCTTATTCTCTCTTTCACAATTAATACTGTAATTAATATTATCCTTCATAATTAAAATTGTATACATTCGTCATAGTGATACAAGTTTCGTACTTAAATTTCTTCGAACTTCACAAAATTACGAGATTTAGATAAAAGGATAAATGGAGAGAAAAAATAATAAATAATAAAAGGATAAATGGATGATCAAATTAATCTTCGAAATTCTCTTTTATAACCATAGCGTTAAAAAACAGAATTTAATAATTTGAATGAAAAAAGATTGTAAATTAAACGTTACGATATCATAAACTGATTTTTATCAATAGGATCTAAATTATTAGAGGAACGAATTTAAATAATCTTCGTACGAGATTCTTTTCTGCAACTCGCAACGACGAGTCAAAAGACGTTCCATTTTGTCCCGACGACATTCTCGCTATTTTAGGAACATTCGAGAGACTAGATGCGCCCTGTTGGCCCTTTTATTTATAGGAATGACCCGGTTCAATGACCTAAACGATTTATCCGTCAGTATACACTTTACAGTAATCCGACTGAGTATTACAACACTTACAGAAACTTCTCATAAGTATATTACGTATGTTCAATCTGTATACTAATTTTGTATTGCAGTAAGTTAGAACTTCTATACCTGAATAGAGCAAATTTTACAACGAAATTTGAAAAACTTTTCGTATAATACGCGTAATGCGGTCATAAAAGCCTTCTATGATAAGTGCACAAACGCATACTTTCGTATGTCACAAGAGCCATGTGATTTGTATCTTTGTAATTTCTTATTAAAAGATATTTTCTACAGCGCGATATCTTAGCGCCTTTATCGGTAAAGTTTTATTAAAAGGTCTTTCCTACAGTATACAATATTCTCGTGCTTTCATTAACGCTTGCTCGACAATGCTTTATTGTTTGATACGCAAACAAAAGTTGTACATGTGGTAGGAATTTTAATTAACCAAGCAGCTGTCTGCTCTCGTTCGTGCCATTTAACAGTTTCCAAACGCTGTGGGAAAATTTGAGTTGGCGAGCGAAAGGTGGGCTATTGTGCGAAAAAAAAGTAAAACACGGCTCGCGGCTAACGTAAAAGCTATTAAACGAATTACACTTGCAGTTAGGAAGAGCAATGCCGAAATCCAGATTAATAAATTGATTTAAAAGTCTAGTTGGAAAGTTTAGTATCGTGTTAGTAATGTGATATTTGTAGCAGTTTGCGTTATATTGAAAACTTTTGCAGCTTTATTGAAATGTGAAAAACGTAATAAAAGCGGAAAATAAAAAGTTATAATTAATAAACCTATTAAAAACTCATAATTTCATGCCATACATTTTTTACAGATAGAAACCTTCCAGGTAATTCACTTTTTAGTTGCGTTTATACGTTTGTCCTTTTATATGTTTCACGTAGTATTTTTTTTTTTTTTCTAATTAAAAAGATTTTATTTTTGGGTAGGCAGAACTCGAGCGATTAACCAAGTGGTTGAATTTTCAGAAGCGCGCAGTCAGCACTTAAATTAAAATTTCTTCAAAGAGTGAATCACTATGTTCGTCTTTGTGTTAAGGAAAATAGAAGGAATCAAGTTTCAAGATGTTTCATCGCTTCGCCTAACCTAATGTTGATCTTTTATTAACATCCTTCGCTACGCCAGAGAAAAACGATTTCATGTCCTCTATCTGTTTTTTTCTCTTTTTTATAAGAACCTGTTAATCGAATGATTTAATCCTATTACCTATGTTTGCGTTTCATCGTGTAAGATAACAACGACTGATAAAACAGTATGAAGTTTTAAACAAAGAATTATGCAGAAATTTTCTCACGCAAGGCTTACTTTAATTTTCTCTATCCATGAAAATACTGCTACCGATTTAAATGTCAGCATTCTTACATCTATCAAAGGCTAACCTTGTTATATTTCAGCATAATTTTCATTCCATTTTCACATTGTATATGTGGCGACACTCGACCATGCGACACAAAGCGCTATACTTTCAAAGCGTAAGTCCGACATGCCTAATGTACCATCGATATCCCTACGGTTCTTTCGCCGAAAAGTGCGAAATGTTTAGCAAAGGTCATAGCAAAACAAACACAATTCGAGATACGTGATTATTAACTCTTGATTGTTAATCGTTAATCGTTAATTGTTGTTGATAGTTAATCGTTAATTGTTGATCGTAAATTGTTGACTGTTGATTGTTAATAGTTTAATAAACCTTTTTTGTTGAACATCAAGAGTATCTCTTATGGGCACGTCATATATACAGGGTGGTTGGTAACTGGTTTTAATTTTTCCATCGAGACAACGATCTACAGTGAGGTCCATTAAAACGAGACGTGATAAAGTGCAGGCGTACCGAGCGAAAATTCAAAGTCGATTTTCTCGAAAACAAAGCCTCGAACGAAAAATTGTTATTCTATATTTTCGACTTCTTTTTTCGCGTAGAATCACCCCCTTTACGCTTGTATCACCAGCTACCAACCACCCTGTATATCGTTAACAATGCACAGATGCAAAGTTTCTTTGTCAGTATTTTCAAAAGGTACTTAATTCATGCCATGTTCGATACTCAAGAGTTCGTATAAATTCACTGCAAAATATAACATAGCGATGGAAAAGTATAATACAAATAAGTTCCATTTCGTAACTACGAGGAAAACAATATTAAATTCACGTAAACTGGAATCGTGTCCGAAGTAAGACAGTTTAAACTTTAATTACTTCCTTAACATATCTGCGTCCTTTGTTCTGCTAAAAATACTTTGCATTTGCGTGTATTACTTATGAGACACGCTATATTGGAGAAATATTAGAAAATGTTGGGTAGTAGCTCTTCTTGTAAGTACATAATACCGCTTTTATAGATCTTTCGTTGGAGAAGCTCTTATCGACCTCAATTATAACGGCTATGCTCGAACCGAACTGATTTAAGACAGGTGAAAATGGGCCATCGGTTCGGTCTTGTCGTTACTTTGAAATAAGACCTCTATCGGGAAAGCTTTTCCTCGGCAAGTAAGAAAACGATTCTCTTAATGTTTTGAGAATAAGGTAGCTTTATCCTCCCTTTTATCGCAGTATTTAAGGGTTTATTATGGTTCTTCATCTTTTATGTAGTATCTATGAAGAGGAAATCTGGATGTATTAAAAGTAATTGTCTTAGAGTATTACATCTTTTGGAGAAAGATTTACGACAGAGAAGGATTTTCATTTCAGTAATACAATCGTGGCTAAATTATCGAATCGTCCGTGATAAAAATATTATTACGACGAGATTCTTCTGTAGCAAAAAGATAATATGTTATTCGCATAGTTATACAGTTTTTGTGTGTTTGTTTTTATTAGAAAAGCATACTAATTTGGCGGATATATTTTTAGACAAGATCTTCAGTGTCAAATGTTTCATGCATGTGCCTCGTTATAAAGTACTGTTTATATGTAAATTGTTTTACAGTTGATTATAGTATATAAAAACATAAAATTTAATATAAAAGTGATTAATTGTATCGTTAATATATATTAGACGTTATAATCTATGGAAAATAATATTTAGAAAATGAATATTTATTCCTTTAATATCGCAATACGAAGTAATTGGAAGGCTGTATGGAAAAATTGTACGAATATAGTTTTTCGTAAAAATGCTACAAGCGTAGCACATTATACGCAAGACCCGCGTTTGTCTAGAAAATTCTCTTATAAATTTCCACAATAAGGTGACTTTATGACCACACGCGATATCATTTTTCTTCCGAGTACCTCGATCAGTATAATTAATTTTAATTATACCCATCTCAAGCTCCTCTTACATACGTAAAATGAGGAAATATAGTCAAGAACGCTTACTCTTTATAAAGTACATATTCAGCATAGTATAATATTTGTACAATAGTCATATAATATATTACAATACCAATGTATCAGAATATTGTTA